GACAATAAATCAATGAATCAGTTGTTAGGATATTCAGCAAATATCTTAAGATAATTACTGGTCAATGCCTATTGGTTAATTCCTACTGGTCAAGTTTATGGCCGTCCTAGTAGATATCGATGTCACGTGCTCCAATGTTGTTTTATTATTGGTTGTCCTAACTATCGATGTCACTTCAAGTGTTGCTTACTATTGGTCGTCTTAACTGTCAATGTCACAAACTTCGATGCTGTATAAATATGCATTACGTGTAACGTTTTATGACCAGGAGCTGGTCCCGGATCCCTAGTCCGGGATCCTGATTCTCTTCTGGATTCGGACCTCGTACTTTCTGGATGCTTGTAGAATACAGGTTCTACTCCACATTCAAGTCTTCTTATTTTTACTCAATATGGGGGTTGGGATAATCGGATTTGAGTAGCATGTCGTGTCGCCGGATCCTCGATCCTCGCTCTCGTTTTCCGACTAAGGTAAACTCGTAATAGTTCAAGTATATCAAGTTGACGTGTTTACGTGCAGGCGTAACATAAATCAATAAACTGGACAAGGAAATAATCTTATTCAAAGGGTATTATGGTATTTATATGGGGGAAAAAATATGATGTGATTATTGGTAAAGTTTCATTCTCTGAGTTGAATGATTTGATTGAAATCATGAATCGATCAATGTTAGACCCTCGTTAGAAACCTGGAACCATTGGATGGCCATTTCATCCTAGTATGAGACTTATTAGCAGTGCACATCCATGATTCTCATTCGCTGAAGTCGAACCTAGGATCTTCGGTCCTGCGTGTGAACGCTTAAGCTCTAGACCAATGTGACGGCATTCAACGGCCTATCTTACATCAATCCAACGATAATCGATTCATAATTTGAATCAAAAACAACATTCGTCATAACTCTATATTGAATTTGTTTGTTGTTTGAGTTAGACCAACTATTTTCTTCTAGTGACTTCAATGAAACTCACTAGTCACAAGTAGTAGCGATGGAATCCAAAATGCGAGTTTAGTCACAGCTGGATGTACCGTGCCACAACATTACAGAGTTCATTTTCACTCCAGGACTCGAACCCAGCACTTATCGCTTCAAACACTACCGCGTTATCACAAAGTGAACACTAGCCCTAGCTTGAAAGTACTACATCCAGCTGACGAGGCCCAAAACAAAACGAAACGCGATTTCTAATTTGCACTGCTAGCCACCTTCTATCTCTTGCTTTTAAATGGTTAAGAATATAGTCTACATTTGTGAAAGAATACTGGATATATCTAAACGATTGTGATTGATTTCTAATCATTTCATTCATTAATATAACTCTAATCATGATTCGGATTTTATCTACCAGTCACAAGTAGGTGGTCTACACCACAAAATACGTTTTATTGTGGTGGTGGTGTTTGCTTCTCTGAGCTGGGTGTTTTGGTTGTGGAGATTTCATTGTTCTTCTGAACAACATCATCAGCCCAAACTTCAGATAGAAGTGAAGCATTCACCTGAGCTACAAATCTTCTCCACGTTTTTTTTAGATAAACCTCTGCAAATCTTGCTTTTCTAAAACACCGATCTAATTTCAGTGTGTTATACAGCAATTCAGAGGGTAAAGCATAGATATTCAGCCAGTCAGTCAGATGCAACGTAGAACTTCGTACGTAAGTACATCAGTTCATGTTGCCATACCACATCAGCACAGAGATGTAGTTGTCAATTCAAATCCAATAGTAGAACAGGTAGTAAAGGTATTAGAAGTAATCAGAAAGGTTAGGATGAGAAGAAATTATTCAAGAAGTAAGATTCAGCGAGAAAAGTCTAGAAAGTCAAAAGTAAAGGGGTTGAAGAATCCATAAGATTAGGATTTCAGAGAACACAAAGAATAAATGCACCTACGCCATTGCGAACGATTTTGAGCCATATCATTCAGGGTCTCTAACCATCGATTATTATCATCTCGCGGACCCCAACCAGGTAGTCGACAACTACCCACGTGACTCAATCCACTTGTCAATGACTTCATGGCATTTCTACCATGTTCTGGTCTGGCCGCCCCTAACTTTCTTCCAACCTACTCCTACACTACAAAACATAGCTCGACGAGGCAGTCGATGGTTTGGCATACGCAACACATGTACCAATCACGTCAAATGATGAGGTTTCAATGCTTCATCTATTGACCTACTATCGTCTACTAGCACCCGTTTCCTAATAACAGCATTGCTTACCCGGGTGTCCCTAGGATGCACGAGCAATGCTTCGAAGACGCCTATGATCGAAAAACATAGATATTCACTAAACTGTAAGTTGATTATCGTAAACTAACATGAAACTTGATATAAAGTGAGCCAATCAGATGTGATCAAATGAAATGGGCCATTTGATAAACATCCGAAAGTATTCGAAACGACGCGTACATATCATTGCCCATCGGTTTCTCCTGTAAGTAGCCAGTTTTTTTTACAGGGGGGCGATTTGGGGAGTTCGTACGTGTTGCGATCAGATCACAGTCACTAGGTTGGTAGATGTAGGCTACCTGGTTGGGGTTGGCGAGACGAAAGTCACCGATGGTTAGAGACCTTGAACGACATGGCTCAGAATCGTTTGCAATGGCGCAGGTGCATCCACTCTTTGTGTTCTCTGAAATTCTAATCTTCTGAATTCCTCATCATCTCTATCTTTCTCTTTCCAACTTTGCCTCACTGAATTATACTCTTCTAATCATATCTTCGCTCCCTTATCTTCTCCATTACTACTAATACTTCTACTATCACCATCACTCTTGGATTTGAACTGACAGTTACGTCTCTGTGCTGATGTGCTGTGGCAACCTGAACTGATGTACTTATGTACGTACGAAGTTCTGCGCTGTTTGTCTAAATGACTAAAAACCCTTTACAATGTGGCTCAGGTGCTTTAACCACCTTCTAAATTCTTCAAGATGTTTATCTTTCTCTTCTCAAATTTATTTCACTAGGTTATTGTATACTCCTTGAATAACATCTTCAAACCTTAATCATTTCGATTACTGTTCATACTACTACTACCTTTACTACTATAGGACAATGGCGTCTCTTTGCTTATATAGTGTGTACGTACGTACCTAGTTCTACGTTGTAACTAACTGACTGACAGGTTATACTCCTTGAATAACATCTCCAAACCTTAATCTTTTCGATTACCGCTCATACATCTACTACCTTTACTACTATAGGACAATGGCGTCTCTTTGCTAATCTAGCGTGTACGTATATGTACCTAGTTCTACGTTGTAATTGACTGACGGCTGACTAACTGACTGACAGACAGCCAGACAGCCCTCTAAAAAAAGAAAACACAGACATTCACAGCGTGGTGGGTGGGAGGGGTGCATGCAAACACACACACACACACAACCGCTTACTTGAACATAAGCTTTCATTGGATCTAACATGGATCGATTAATATAATTATCCATGATTAATTCCACTGAATGTTCACCATATTTACGACGATATAATTGTAATAATTCATGACATTTTTCATTTAATTTTTCACAGGGATTCGATCGATAAATAAATGATTTACCAGCCATTGATTCGAATAACTAAAGAAAGACAAGAGAGAAAAACACACATCGTGTTAGGGATATTCACATCCAACCAATATCCTAAGATAATTAATTATTGGTCAATGCCTATTGGTAGATTTCTATTCGTCAATTTTATGGTCGTTTTAACCGTCAATGTTGTCTCTTATTGGTCATCCGGATTGTCGATGTCATTTCAGATGTTACTTCCTATTGGTCGTCTTCACCGTCAATGCCGCCGAATTCGATGCTGTTTCCTATTCGACCAAAATGTATAAATACGCATTATTTGTGACATTTTACGACCACGACCAGGGCTCGGTCCCGGATCCCCAGTCCGGGATCCTGATTCTCTTCTGGATCCGGACCTCGTACTATCCGGATGCTTGTAGAATACAGGTTCTACTTCATATCAAGTCTTATTATTGTTGGGATAATCGGATTTGAGTAGCATGTCGTGTCGCCGGATCCTCAATCCTCAATCTCGTTTTCCGACTGGGTAAACTCGTAATAATTCAAGTATATCAAGTTGACGTGTTTACGTGCAGGCGTAACACACATACACACATAGAGAGAAGGAGACAGAAATGGTTAATCATACGCAATGATGTGATATGTTTGAATGCTATAATGAGTTCACCTTACTAGGTAACGAGAGCGTAGACAAATGATTGCAGTGACACGATAAGCTATTCTAATCCATTTGTCCCCGGCTACGACTAACTAGATCATGAAGTCTTGATAGAGCGTAGAGAATGTATTCTACAAGCACTCAGAGAATACGAGGTCGACAAGCACAAAAATCAAGCTTATTTATACAATGACAGAAACGCCCGTGATGTGAGCCACAAAATAGCGTACTAAAATAATCCATCAATCAATGACAGTGAAGGATTTTCCGAGAGAAGGTCAACTAAGGCGTCTTATGCGCGAACACATAAAAAAATTGAAATTGGGATTTTTTTTCCAAGTGAGTTCTGGGGATTTAACGTATACAACATGATTAACATAATGATTGATGTGAATTATATTAGCCCCCCCCCTCAAATACCCTAGCACGACCGACCGTGGAGAGACTCCGATCTCTACCTCCGTCGAAACGCTATAAGGGAATTCCTACTCAACTACTTCTCTTGGTACAGATGTTACTCGAGAAAGTGACCAGGTTGATGATTACGGCAAGTCCACCTTGGAGAGTTGAAAAATCCTCATTACAAACCAATGGTGCACATGGACTCCACGATCTCGACGGAGCTAACGGCGTTTGAACCTAATGTTGGTCACCAGCTACCAGGGGATAACAAATCCTAACTCTGCTACACTGCCTTCTGGATTAGACCTGTAGGGGAGTGGCCCCTTAAGAAAACCACCTACTTCGATCTAGGCATCCGAGCAGTATCCCAACTCACTCAAAAGTTCATTGATTTGTATGTCTCTTTGTACCAATAATTATTTGTCTAAATCAAAGAATATAAAAATTTCCTATATCTATTCCAGATAATATCAACTGATGGAACGTTAAAATCATCCACATTTCCGGGCACACTTCCATACTGTTGTTCTTTGAAAATAACGATTTGTCTATTCAGATAGACAATCCAAGATTTAAAAAACGGTTTCAAGCTACATCACAACAACATAGCAGGAAATAAAATGAATCAGGGTGTTGTAAATAAGTATTACACGTTATGGAAAACCGACTGTGGCTGGTATCTTGACACGTGGTGGTCATGCTTGCCTATCGTGATGATCCAACCGAGTTATATTGGCTGGAACATATGTTACTGTAGGTTCTAACATGTCAGGCAGATCCACTGGAGAACGGTAAGACTAAAGCAGCAACTCAAGGTCTGTGGGCAAAGTCGTACTGCTGGCTATAGAGGAATGTAACAGTAGTAGGTTGTTTCCCTCGGACAACCAACATCTGCAACGATGTTGAGTTCTCACAAGGAAGGAAGGGGTTAGAATAGGTCGACCCTAAAAATGTCACACCTCACCTTACCTCCGTCTTCGGCGGTAAGGGGTTTTAAAAAAGAGCGGAGCTAACACTTCAAAAACTCCTCATAAAAAGGCCGTGCGTGACCGGCATCAAGCAGTTGTATTGTGGGGCTTCATACCCCTAACAGGATACGATAACATCTGTGTCACAATCAAATCCTTCTTTCACTTCTTAATAACTACTTCCACGACTAACCCTTCACACATTCATTTACCACTTGGTGCCGCTGAAGTAAACGATTCGAACAGACACCTGAAACCACACTCTAAGCTACATATTGAAGCATTTAATGTGCAAACATCGTGCCAAATGCACATTTACGCAGAGGGTATAGTTATTAACATAAAAACAAACAGGAAAACACAACTTACTTGACCATGAAATGTAACACGATAATATGCTGCAAATAATCGATGTCCATGTGATTCCACACGACTTATTGATTCATAAGCTCGACCAATATGATGATAAATTTGTGCTAAATTATTATATTGACATTTGTATTCGTACACTGGTAAAATTAATTCATACACTGGTCGTATACATTCGAATAAACCAGCTGATTCTAGCGCTAAAGCAGCTTCATTCATATCGGTTAATAAATCATCCTTTGAATGGGAAAAAAGAGTTTTAACATGAAAACAAACATGGATTACATATAATTTATATTTTAACAAAAGGATATAAAACAATTGAACATTGAATGCGGCTTATTTAAAATGACCGACTAGTGAATAGCTTTGGGAGGAAATTCTTGGAGCTCTACTAAGAAGATGTAACCAGTGGAGTTCAACCCTATCGGATGTAAGCAGTAACTAGCAAAAACAAATGGGTGAGGTTGCGTAAAATCCTTAGATTGATTAGAGTTAGACATTAACAGCGTTGAACGCCGGTTAAGAGGTTTAGAGGTTAAGCGTTTGCGTGGAAGGTTGAAGGTCCTGAGTTCGAATCATGAGAGTTGCAGGGGTCGTGGATGTGCACTGCTGATGAGTAGTCCCATATCAGGAGGCAATGGTCGTCCAGACAGACAGACAGATACAACGCACAACTTTGTACATAAGTACATCAGTTCAGGTTGCCATACCACATCAGCACACAGATGTAACTGTCAGTTCAAATCCAAGAGTGATAGTGATGATAGAAGTATTAACAGTAATGGAGAAGATTAGGAAGAGAAGATTTGATTCGAGAAGTATAATTCAGTAAGATAAATTTAGAAGGAGAAAGACAGAGATGATGAGGAATTCAGAAGGTTAGAATTAAAAAGCACACAAAGAGTGGATGCACCTGCGCCACTGCAAGCGATTTTGAGCCATGTCATTCAAGGTCTCTAACCATTGGTGACTTTCGTCTCGCGGACCCCAACCACGTAGCCTACATCTACCAACATGACTTAGTCCACTTGTCAGTGACTTCATGGATTTGTGCCATGTTTTTTTTGGCCGCCCGTATCTTTCTGCTAACCTACTCCTACACCACAAAATATAGCTCGGCGAGGCAGTCGATGGTTAGGTATACGTAACACATGTCTCAACCACCTCAGCTAATGAAGTTTCAATATTTCATCTATTGATCTGTCATTCTTACCCGTTTCCTAATAACAGCATTGCTCACTCAGTTGTTCCAGGATATACGAGCAATGCTTCGGATACACCTATGATGTCCTTTCTAAGGAAGCCTGTTGCCCGATTTGACACAATGTCCGTACATCAAATGCTCCAACATGTAATTTGGAACGAGGTTTCAGGAGACCAGGAATGACGTTTCGTGAACTCGCTTCGTTTGCATTAGCTGTGCAGTGTGATAAGGGAAGGTGAGAAGAGTTAGTCGTGGAGATAACAGAGATATTAGGGGGCGTAGGAAGGATTTAGTTATGACCGATTTGGTCTCGCGTGCTGTTACCGGTATGAGGGCGGATGTCACTTCCCGGCTGCCCACACCGTGGAAGGGTGTTTCTTGAGAAACCTGAAAAGGAAGATAGATTAGTTTTGGTCTTAACGAGACCAAGGGACAACTTCTTGAGGCCGGTCACGCACGGCCTTTTTATGAAAAGTTTTTTGAGTAATAGCTCCGCTCTTGAAAGCCCTTAGTGGGCAGCCCTTACCGACGGAGACGGAAATCCATGAGGTGAGGTGAGGTGTGACATTTTTAGGGTTGACCTTTTCTAACCCCTTCCTTTCTTGCGAGAAGGCAGCATCGCTGCAGAAGCTGGTTGTCTGAGGTAAACACATAACTGCTGTCACAGCCCACTGCAGTCAGCAATACGACATCGCCCTCAGACCTTGAGTTGCTGCTTTTAGTCTCATCGTTCTCCAATCGACCTGCCTGGCATGACAGTAACATATATTCCAGCCGATATAGCTCGGTTGGATCATCATGATAGGCAAGCTGGACCACCACGTGTCAAGTAACAGTTACGGTCGGCATAACTCATTATCTATATATAGACATGAATATATTTCATTCTGTATCACACTAAATATAATACGCCTACACTTACTTGAGTATATGAAATTTCTAATAATGTAGACGAATCAGTTTTAAGTTCATTTTCTTCTAAACAAATATTTGATGAAATCGCTTTGAATGCATGACAACCTTGTGGAAATTCACCTTAAAATAGAAGAAAAAAGAAGGAGCAATAACTTGTTAAATATGAACAAATAAAATTCAGAGAGAATCATCAATGGACTACAAAACATTCCTTCAGTAAGTCAGCTCATAAATGCCATCGAATGACCAAGAACAGAGAGGATCCATTCTCTCTATCTCTAAATGATCTCCCATGGCCACACGTATATAGTCGCTGACAAGGAATTCATACTAACTGAATTCTTGTGGCACAGATGTTATTCACAAAAATTAAGGAGAACGGAAAACAAGTGTCCATAGCGTTTTAACCAGGTTAGTAAGTACGAAGTGTAGTGAACGAGAACACAGGTGGGGCAACCGGATTGTATTTAACGAAAATTACAGAGTTACTCAGTAAAATCGGAAAACCATATTGTAAATCGTTAATTTGCAAAATATCAGTTCATCATATCGAACTGGACTGTTCTTGTTGCAAAACATCAATCCATTGTCACTATTCATGCGTTTCATACAAATTCCATTGTATTCCCACTCTTCCTTTCTTGATCTTCCCCCATCTTCTACTGCTAGACATTACGTTGACGCTCAGGTCATATACTGCTTATAAGTAGCTCACACCACAGAAGGACTGATCTAGGGGAGATGGAGAACCCTGATTCCAAACCGATGGGCTCCACGGTCCTCAAGAAATAAATAACGTGTAAGCTTATTGATGGTCGGTCACCAGCTTCCATTAGACTGCATCTCCTCCTTACATTGCTCTCCTGGCTTAGTGGATTAAACTTTTGAGTCAAAGGTTTGCGAAGTAATCCCCTCAAAGAAAAAATCCACCTGTTTAAAGATGCCATGTCGTAGTTAGAGACCAGAATTTTAAATTCTAAACACACTTTTACAAGCATCATTTCGTAATTTTCTAACTTGAAACTCAAAACTTTTCATTTTAACTCTTAAATATAAATGTATTTTCGGGTAGAGTTTTGGAGGTTTGTGTTTTTTACACATTTGAAATCATCAATCAATCATTGTTAGATAACCATTAAAAACCTGGAAGCACTGAAAGACGGCCGTTTCATCGGAATTCACCAGCAGTGCGCATCCACGACTCTTACACCTCGCAGGATTCGAATCCGGGACCTTCGGTATTGTACGCGAACGCCTAACCTCTCGACCACTGGGTCGGCATCCAACGGTGTTAATGCCTAACTCTGATTGATCACCATTGCGGGGTGGGAGTAACAGGCGAAAGTAAGTAAGTGAGTAAACAATTAAACTCTTTGATACAGAGAACTAATATTGACAAAAATCTTATTTCAGTGAAAATAAATATCGAATCGTACGAGAAGAGGTACCAAAATTCATATGCACCACATGAAAAAAAAGCAAGTGTGAGTGGTATTAATTTTTGTTAAGAACATATAGAAATTACAAAGCAGTTGAATGAAATAATAGTTATGATGGTAAGAGAAACCATAAAAGTTATCGCAATCAGGAAGAATTCTTTCATTGAGAGAAATTTCTCACACTTATGTAAAGAGAATGAGAGTTATAGAAGGACCGCTATTGGCTCTCATTCTGAGTCATCTCTAATGCCATGCTTCAATTTAGCCGATCCTAAATAGCTAAGAACTTAATTCTACATCACACGTCATTTAAGTTGTCGGATTTAGTAGTCAGAGTTATTACATATAATATATTCTGCAATCGCTTCCGTCTATAGAGATTCACCACATCAATACTCTATATATCGACCGTACCTACGACTCTAAACTTAACCTTAGTGTAATGCACTCAGTGGTCTTAACAAACTTAATGTTTCGAACTTACAGTGTATGAACCTATTGTTGGTCACCAGCTACTTCAGGATCAAAACTCGTAACATTGCACCACTGCTCTGTGGATTAGACCTGTAGGTCAAAGACTCGGAGAATGGTCGCCTGAAGAAAACCATCTACTTTGGTCTGGGAGTCTGATCAGTATCTCGAACCACTCACAAATTCATTGATCTGCGTGGCGCATATAAATTTAGCTGCTCCTTTGTACCAATAATTATTATGTGTTTAGACCAATAAGTAAAAATATCCTGTATCTATTCGAGATAATATCAATTTTAATGGAACTCACTCACTGATCACCTCTTCATTTTTTTAAACTAGTTTTAAAGTTATAAGCTAATGAGCGATATGGAATTATCTGAGATGACATTCGTGGTACATGCTGGATCCATTGAACGCGGTGTTTGAGGATGGTAACATCAATTAAATAGTCGTCTTTGTGGCTAAACAAACGTTGTCGAACCTGTGTATTACTAATATAGTATAACAACTGAATATCAGCAATCCTTCGCAGACAACGATGATCAAACGTAGAAAGTCGTTCAGCAACCTCAATTCGGAGAGGCAAGGTTTCACAAGTAAAGAGCGATATTGCTTTCACCGACGCCTTATGGACCTGAATTTTTCAGCTAGAATAATATCACGAAGGTGCCAAGGATGGTACTGACTGGAATAAACTAATCTGGCTATGACTATATGTGATTTGAGCTCATCACTTACGCCACCACTAGCGCTTATGTAACTACGCAGATATATGAACTTTCGCCTATTGCTCCCTACCAACGTGGTTCAGGGTCTTGTCAGTGCTGTGAAAGAACTTTACAGTTAGGTGCAAATTAAATGGTACACCTGTGGTGAATGCTACTAACAAAGTGGCATATAAGTAGTTGTATGCAGGTAGAGCATTCCCTAAAAGTTGCTACCTGAGAGTGTCTGGATATAATAATGCATGACGTGATCAAAGTGTACTGAAAACAAGAAGCGGCGCTATAGAAGACAGTATTGTTTGCGGATTCGGTGCACATATTTGCATAGATTGGGGGCATCACTGCACAATACTAAGATGAGCTGTTTCGTCCCTGTATGAGACTCATCAGTGACAATGTACATCTAAAACCGTCGCACGCGAATACTTATCCTCTAGACCACTGAGTCCGAGGAATCCCACGGTGTCCATGTCTAACTTTTTCAATCTAAGCTCTTGCGCAACCTCACCCACTGTCTTCAGTGGGTAACTACTACTACTGCCTATTCCCAACAGCGTTGAACTCCACTAGTCACAGTTTCTTCTCACTTGGAGAAATTTCCTCACAGATTCAAGTGTAAACACAAATCTTATCGAAAAAAATGGGAGGCTGGTATACTTTGTTACTTATGCAATAAAAAGTAGCACATTTCACAAACTACCATTCAATGCTCAATTATTAGTTGATAAAACTAACTAACTCTAACATTAATCATTGAAAGATGAGTTAGTCGAATGAAAGGGGGGATATATAAAGAGCAATCAAAAACATGCATAGTCAATGCTTGGCATACAATAGACATGACCGCATTCAATGCACACACACTTAGATAGATAAACGCGAATCTATGGCGGCAAACCAGCATACATAAAACATGACACATGAGAAACACAGGGTAAAATTGAACGGTGGACATAAGTAATCATTCCCCTCTACAGAAAATAAATAATAATAAATGCTTTAGAAATAAGAAAGAAGACACCAACAGCAACTCTGTCTCCTTCACATTTGAATGTAGCGTATCAATCTGATTATTCAGAGAGCATAGTGTGTTCCATAGTGTATTTCTTTTCGAGTGGACTCGAACTCCAAACCATGGAGAAAAAGACACTGGACCAGATTGATGCTTTTGTAGTGCGTGTACTATTTTGTCGAGCCCACAGAGCTTGGTTCCCAAGCCTTCGGATAAATGAACTTAATCCATTCCGTCCGAGTTACTATTCCCTCGTCTTTTGACCTTGTCAATCAGTCGCTTAAAATCTTGGTGAGCAGTGCTTACTTCATTTATCGCATGTACCTAGGCTTATTTTTGTCCGACTATAATTGCGTAGTCATGCTCCTGATCACATTGAATTGGCTCACTCTCTTTCTCCATTTCACTTCGCTCTGATAGTATGCTTCTCATTCTCGTGTATGTCCACAACAGCGACTCATCCAACCCGATTTGTATGTGACTTCCTACTTACATCGTTGCAAAAATGGTGATCGCCAGAAATGGAAAGGAAGATTTGTATTTCACATAGCCTATGTAATAGTTCGTAGTGAGCCCTACTTAAGAATGCAACTCAGCCACAATTCACTGTCTGATAAAAATTTACTCAGCCCAATATTCTGAATAAAAATAGGACCATTAAAAAACAATCCCATCCTCATTATTACCAAGATGTGATTTGGACTTGGGAATTTCATTAAAACCATGAGTCGATCAGTGTTTAGACCATCGTTAGAAAGAAACCTGGAAGCAATGAATGACCGTTTCGTTCTAGTATAGGACTGGCTCAATGACAGTGTGTATCTCCAAAAAACTCGCAGACGATAGAAGCGAACAAGAGGTATTCAGTCTGGTGCGTAACCATGATTATTTTTATCATTTACAAATATTGAATTCTAAACTTTGCTTCCTAAGATTTTAATTTCACACAGTGAGCACGTGAAGCC